CCAAAGAAATATACATTCTTCTCCTCTTTCTTTGGTGGTCTTCTTTGCTGTAATATATTTAAAAGCCAAGTGAATCCACTTTTCTTGCCCCATTGTCCTATAGGTCCGGTCCCATGCAACCATCTACCTTGTTTACATCATATGGAAACAGTTGTTTCTTCCTGGTTCCTGTAACCGGTCCCCCAGTGACATGGTGCCAGATGGTGCCTTTGTTTACATATTGTTCTATGGATGGATGAAGCCTTCTGAAATTTTGACATTCCATATCCCAGGAGACTTTCCTCCATTCCTAGAACACTATGTAAACAAACACATTGCCAAATCTTTGCACAAGCAAAGGACGGTGCATGTGATCAGCACAGGGCCAATCAGCACTTTCCAGACAGAAGGTCAAAGGTTTCATATCCTCCTAGAGCAGAATGAAAACTCCTCCTACAAGCTTTAACCAGTGCTCTGCTGAAGTCACAAGACTGCTCTAACTGCTGACAAGAAAAGCAGTTTATATTTACTAAAATAATTGCATTTCCATTTTCTGTGTACTGTGGGAGACCAGTTATAGTGAATCCTGGGTTTAGTAACACTTTAACTGCTCAGCACAGGTGTGATTCAGAAGATGCTTTGCATTTCCAGAATCAATGCAAAGCATTCTTTGATTGAACGAGGTGTAGAGGCTGTGACATCACACTCTCCACCTCATCCAATCAGAGAACATTTTGCATTCCTTTAGAAAATGCAAAGCATTCTCTGAATGGTGCCTATGCTAAGTGACTGGTCTCCTGTGTTTAGAATGCAGCAGGCCTGCTGCTCCGCACAAGATCTGGAAGCAAGTGGAGACCACTAAAGTGATGTAGTAGCGGTGTCTACTTCAGTGATTTCAAGTTTCCAGGGGCATTTTATCAATGAACAATATCTTCTTAGCTGTGTTTCTGTCCTTATGATAAATCTTCCTGTATACACATTATTTTAAAAATTAAATGTTACATACAGTATATAAAGCACTACATAAATTGGAGGTGCTATATATATGCCTGCATCAAATACATTAATATGTTAATGATATGTTTCTGTTATAACCACACCCATTTTAAATGAATGCCCTGCCTATAAGTAAAGTCCTTGCTTAGCCTACAATGGGTTATCCCTAGAAACTTTTATATTGATAGATAGATACACAGTGTATATATATATATATATATAGAGAGAGAAAATTCTATAACCATTAGAATTTCAATAGATGGATTGGTAGATAGGGTAGATAGATAGATTGAAAGTAAAATGGCCTATTATCCCAAGCTTTCTTTTTTTTCTGACTTTTACAGGCAATAGGGAATGACCTCCCTGAAAAAAATATATGAATCACTGAAGACTAAAGTTGGCAGCTGACAACTCTGGCAACACATGTTCTAGAAAATTAAGTAATCCTTCAGCATAGTTTCCAGGATGTATAGAAGATGGGAGACATTGCTCATCTTACTAACAGCAAGAACAAATCTAGTGCAACAGAGCAGGAAAGCTATATGCCCTGGTATATGACCTACATAACGTTGAGTTCTCGCCCACCTCATCACTGCACTTTCTGCAATAGGTCAGCTTAATCATGACTGCAATCTCAGTCACTTCTTTTCCTGTGTTTTGCTACTAAAGCTTATTATAATGAACAGACATATCCAAGCAGGGTCCATAATATCATGCATCAGCAGAAGGAGTACAAGGTTAAGAGCTCACAAATACATGTCAAAGCTCTCATGTAATTACCTGAAAAGACAATGCAGACCAAACTATTATAAGTAGAAGATGGGTAGGTATAATGACTGGACATTACGAGGGATGCTTTTCAAAAACTTCAAACCATTAGAGCTAGGCTATACAGTATGTTCATATTTCTGCATCAGTAACTGGCAAGAGTAACAGGTTTACAAAATGAATAAGGCCTGAACAATAGCATTGTTACAGATACACAAAGACAAAAAATGAGGGAGTATCTGACTAGAATGGGTACACATATTAGACAATGCAGACAGAAATTCCAAAAACTTTATACAGTACAAAATATCAGGAAATATAATCAGGAAATAAAAAATTGGTGTAAAGGGTACATGAGTCCAGAACTGTCTTAATGCATGGGAACCCCTGAGCACTACCCATGCAGTTGCATGGGGGTCCCATGATAATTTTGCATTACATCATACTCGACAACTGTCCTGAATTTTCCAGGACAGACAAGTTTTTTACTAAGCTGTCCTGGGATGGCCATGTCCTGGGCAGCGTCCCGGAACCTGTGCCCCCCAGATCTCTCCTGTACTGTTCCCTTCCACCAGGGATGTCAGAAAAAGACTGGGCTGCTGGCTGGATGGAACCCTGTCATAGCTGACCACAATTGGGTGAGACCTCAGAGACAAAAAGAAACTGATCATCGCAAAGGGCCTTGCCTCAGAGACCAGGAACCTTCTCCGGTGAGGTGTGATTTGCATGCCTGTTGAAATCAGACTATACTAGAGAGCATTCCTATCACATGTAAGGAAGGAAAAGAGGGACTATTTCAGCAGGATTGAAACTGATATTGCAGCAACTCTTGTCCCTATCTGAAACCCAGAAGAGGGTTCCCTGGGTCTGGCAAGGGACTAACATTGCACAAGTTAATCTGTTGTCTGCTGGGAACTGCTGTGTTTTCTTCAAGGAGCCCAACTCTACCTGACAACTTTTTTTTTTTCATCATTCACTGATCAATGGGAGAAAATGGGGACTGTTATAAGTTAGGACTGTCTTAATAAATTATTGCTAGGTGATAGCAATCTAGTTCTGTTAATTATTGATACAAAGAATACTGCAGGTGTTTTACCATAACTCTTGGAGTAATGTTATAGTCTTAATAATTGTTTGTGTAAGTACACTTGCTAATACTCTCTTCTTTTAGGCTATGCTTGGCCTAAAAATGCTTTGAACTATCTCATGGTGTGTTGTGAAGTGCTAGGTGAACAATGTGTGTTATGTTCAGGTGAGCTGGGAAATCCTAAAACAATTCAGTTTTTCATCCTTTGCAGAACTTCAGCAGCAATGAAATGTAACAGACTCTTTTCATGCTTTATTTGCTAGGACATGAAAAATATTGTTTTTCACTCCTGCAATGCTGGGAGTGAGAATCCAACAGCTTTCATGTCCTGGCAACCAGTCAGGGCATAGGGGTTGCTGACTAGAACTTATTTAGCCAGGCTTCTGAGGGGATCTAAATGGCCTACAGGTAAAATAATATAATTAATCAAACCAGAAAAAAACTGTGCTTAGTGCAAAAAATTCATAAAACATGTACAGCAGCAGTAAAAAAAAAACACCCAAATACAAGTCTACAAATTATTTATACAATGTTGTTGTTCTGTGACTTTAAGTGGGAAAATGTAAAAAGTGTATTCACACCCACAAGTGTAAAGTTCCTGCATTTATAGCATAAAGTCCACAGTAAAGTCCATCAAATCAAAATATGTGAAATCAACTTCATAATTTCCCTGGTCAATTCCACCACCAACGCCACACACAGCCTCTTACAAATCAAAAAGACCCCAAGCTATAGGTGGTTTAAATCTACGCATGGATGCTTAGAACCTGCTGCATCAATGTATGACAGGGTTTGGGAATCACAGGGCACACCAACAGGGATTGCATCTAATCGCCTTCTCCACTCAGTATGCGATAATCCGGCAAGTGAATAAATGAAATAGTGTAAAATCGCTATGTTTATTTCCCCATAACTTCAAACATTACTCACAATTGTAAACATTCAAGGACACATCAATAATCCTCGCCACCGCTACATCCAGCACAGGCTCCGCCCCAATGCATTTTTTCATATTAGACGTTCTCTCTCATCTAGTACGATGAAACACATTTTAACTTACGGGGAAAAAAAACATAGTTGTTTTACACTATGGAATAAATAATTTATTCCTTTGCCAGAATATCTCATGCTGAGCCAAGGAGGTGATTAGACGCAATACCTATTGGTGCTCCCCGCAGTTCTTGAACCTTATGATATATTTGTTGCAGCAGGCCCAAGGAATCCATGAGCAAATTAAGACCACCTATAACTTGGGGTCTCTTTGATTGGTAAGAGGTCGTTTGTGGCATTGGTGGTGGAAATCACCAGTGTACTTCACATACTTTGGTTTGATGGACTTTTCTGTGGACTTTGTTGTAAATGAAGGAACTTTCCACTTTTGGGTGTGGAAATACTTTAAATTTAAATTTTCAAATTTAAAGTCAAAGCACAACAATATTGTATGCAAAATAATAAAATTCATAATCTTTTTTTTTATATCTATTGGGGCCCCTTAACTACACAGGCTATTTTATGGAAAGGTTGAACTTAGCCCTTCAGGTCTTATTGCATTTGAAGGTGTCACTTGTAAGCATTTTAACCACCTCCCGCCTACCATATAGTAATATGACGGACACAAGGTGGTTCTCTCGTTCTGGGAGGACGTCATATGATGTCCTCCCATTCTCATCGCTCATGTGCGACTCAGGGAACACGCAGCGCGGCGATCGGTGGTGCGCTGTGTCCTTTGGACACAGCGGCTCACCGATCTTGGAAAGAGCCAAAGATGTTGGCTCGGTCATGTGATCAGCTGTGTCCAATCACAGCTGATCACATGTAAACAGGGACATGCCGGTTATCGGCATTTTCTCTCCTCTCGAGCTGTCACGCTGACAGCTCAAGAGGAGAGGAGAGCCGGTAATCGGCTTTGCGCAGAGGGGACATGTACACTGATCATCAGAGCACTGATGATCAGTGTGCCCTAATGATCAGTGTAGCCCCAGCAGTGCCACCTGTCAGTGTCCATCAGTGCCTTGTGTCAATGCTCATCATTGCCTCGTGCCAATGCCCATCAGTAGGCACTGATATGTGGCATTGATGTGCCCATATCAGTGCCTACCAGTGCACATCAATGCCACATATCAGTGCCCATCTGAGCTGCCTTTCAGTGCCACCTATCAGTGCCAGGCAGTGCCACCTATCAATGCCAATCAGTGCCACCTATCAGTGCTGCCAATCAGTGTCACCTATCAGTGCCAGTCAGTGCCACCTATCAGTGCCGCCTATCAGTGCCGCCTATCAGTGCCTGTCAGTGCCACCTATCAGTGCCAGTCAGTGCCGCCTAACAGTGCCAGTCAGTGCTGCCTATGAGTGCCAGTCAGTGCCGCTTATCAGTTCCATATAGCAGTGCCATATATCAGTGCCATGTATCAGTGCTGCCTTTCAGTGCCCATCAGTGATGCCTGTCAATGCCCATCAGTGCCACCTATCAGTGTCCATCAGTGCAGCCTATCAGTGCCCATCACTGCAGTCTCATTTACGTACATCAGTGAAGGAGAAAAATCACTTATTTACAAAACTTTATAACAAAAACTAAGAAAAAAATTTTTTTTTCAAAATTTTCAGTGGTTTTTTGGTTTGTTTAAGAAAAAATAAAAAATCCAGAGGTGATTAAATACCACCAAAATAAAGCTCTATCTGTCACAAAAAAATGAAAAAATTTCATATGGGTACAGTGTTGCATGATCGCTCAATTGTCATTCAAAGTGTGACAGCGCTGAAAGCTGGAAATTTGGCCTGGGCAGGAAGTGGGTATAAGTGCCCTGTAGGCTTGTGGTTAATTACAGACCTGCCACCCCTGCTCCAGTTTTCTTTATCAGGACAGGGACTGCGTTATAAGAAAAACATTTTTTAAACATTTTAAAAATGAAATGCATAAAAATGTAAATATGGCAATAAAGTTTGGTAAAAAAAAAACCATAATTATTGATAGTGGGTGGGAAAATGGTGCTGCTCAAGCCATAAACTAAATGAAGGGTTTGGTTTATCCAGCTGGTATGGAAGCAATATAAGTGCCAAGCTGGTATACAGGCACTGGACATGTGTGGGATTAGGTGGGCTAGGCCAGGAACAGGAGAAAAGCTGCTATTTTCATTAGTTTTGCCCATCTATGATTCAAGGACACTATTCTTTCCTTAGTTCATAGATTCATACAAGTAAAAAGTAAAATAAAGTAGGAATTGGAGGAGGAGGAGGCAAAGCAAAAAGGAGAAGAGGAGTAGAGGGAGCAGTAGGGGAAGGAGGAGGAAGAGGTCACGCTAGCAATGCTTGGCTCAACATCTATTACCTCCATGTGGCATTTGAGCATAAAAGACTCCATTCACCACAATTTCTCTGCAGCAGAGTACCCTGAGTCATCAGAGTTGCTGGGGAAGACACTGTCCTCAACAATCCCACCCAATACATGTACAACTTTCATAAAGCCTTGCTACAGGAAATACCTGTCCCTCCAAGGAGAGGACGGAGGCTGTATCTGCTTCACTTCCTGTCCTCTGTGTATTCCTAAACTCCAACCCCAGTGTGCAATGCTGTGTCTGTGAAGAGGGTTATGTAGTTGGTGGATTTGAAATTTAGAAAGTGCACTGATTGTGCCCGGGGGGGTTAAGTTGATGAGCTAATGCAGGCCATAGATGGGTCAAAAATCGGCCGATATTTTGTCCGAAAAAAAAATAGTTTTTGGGTTAATTGGTCGGCCATTTTTCTGGATTTTGTCAGATTTTTTTGATTGGTAAAGTTGGAAAAAAATCAGCCGATTTTGCCGATCGGCCGATTTTCACGGCAATGATGGGCAAATCGACCGATCTTTTTACCAATAAAAAAAATCTGCGTGAAGAAGAAGAAGAAGAAGAATTCCAGTCCGCTATTATATTTGACATGAAAAAGTATTGCGGTTGCAACAATGTATCTATTTGTATCTGAAAAAACATCTGTATCTGAAATGGATACAAATAGATACAATGTTGCAACCACAATACTTTTTAATGTCAACTATAATAGCGGGGCTCTCTGCAAGGACAGAAGTAATTAAATGCCGGCCGTAGACGGGAAGAAAATCGGCCGGTTTTTTTTTTACTGTTGGTGGTAACATCAGCCTATTGAACGACCGATTTTTTAGTTTTTTTGTTAAAAAAACAGCCAGTTTTCTCCCCGTCTATGGCCTGCATAAGCCTAGGCCCTGGGGGAGTTCATTATTGGTGAGTGACCTATAAATGATAAACATATCCCAACACCTTATGTACACTCTCCCTCCCATTCTTTCACTCCTCCCCTCCCTTTTTTTTCACCCCCTTCTCTCTCTCTCTCTTGCTTTTTTTTAGATTTGTTGTGGCTGCTACTTCCACTGGGTAAGTCTGACCTTTTACCACTTAATAATAAAAAAATCTGGTGTTGTAGCCAAAACTACTACTACCAACTGCATATAATCAGATTGTAGCTCTGCTGCTGTAGAAGTATGGCCCTAACCGTTTTGGTTGTGCTTCTTTTAGATCACAGGACCACATTTGCTATTTTCCTGTGACCCAGAATCAGCTGATATTGGGCTATTGCCCACAAGCAGAGTCGTGTTTTGGGAAATTTCCCAACAATATTGGCAGGATCTACTCAGCTGCTTGAATGACAGTTGGTTCTCCCTCTTAGGGCATGACTGAGACTCATAGCCAACTGCACCGACTCCCTCCCCATCTTGGCGCTCCAGTGAGGGCTTGAGGAGGAGAACAGAGACTGACACTGGAAGCTGAGTGATCAGCGATCAGGTTAGCACTCAGCTCTTGGTCTTAGAGCCAGTGTGACAGCTGTAGTATCAAACAGACGTTGCAACAAGGAGATAAGTATGTATATTTGTTTTTTATTAATCCCTACTTCTCCTTTAAGCCCAATTAAATGTACAAGTTAGAAAATAAATTATGTTAATCCGGAGTTGAAAAATGCAGACCACCGCAGTATGTGTAAGCAAGCTCTAGTTTTTTCCAAATGCTATCCAAAGCCAGAAAAAAATGCCTACAATTGCACTATAAATTCATCACAAGTTCTCCAATTTCTCCTTTAAAGCAGTATTAACCACTTCCAGACTGGACACTTTTACCCCCTTCCTGACCAGGGCAATTTTCAGCTTTCAGCGCTATCACGCTTTGAATGACAATTGCGTGGTCATGCAACACTGTACCCAAATGAATTTTTTACCATTTTTTTGAGACAGATAAAGCTTTATTTTGGTGGTATTTATTCACCGCTGGGATTTTTATTTTTTTGCTATGTAAATAAAAACGTCCAAAAATTTTGAAAAAAAAGTGTTTTTTTTATAAAATTTTGCAAATAAATAATATTTCATCATAAATCTTTGCCAAAATTTATTCCGTTATCTTTTTAGTAAAAAAAAAAATCCAAATTAGTTTTATAACCAAAAATTATAATTTTTAAACTTTTTTTTTTACATTTTTATTTTATTTTTTTTATATTATTATTTTTTTTTTTTTTACATACTGTCACCCTAGCAGTACAGTGTCACCATGGTGACACTGTACTACTTGTGGGGGGTGATATATATTTTTTTTTTTTACACATTGCTTTTACACCCATATAGGATGTAAAAGCAATCATTTCTCTTTCTCTCTGTGTGCATTCTTGCACTCATTGAGAAGTACTGAGTGAGCTGTGATTGGTCACAGCTTGTCACATGGTACAAGCCTGTTGTGAATAGGCTTGTACCATGTGACCTCTGTGATCATTCATAGATTTCACACGTAGTAAGCAATGATGTCACAAGTGACATCTTGCTTACTACTTTGCATGTGATCACTGATTGGCCAATCAGTGATCACATGATCGGGACCTCGTAAGAGGTCCCGTCCGACGATCGGTGTTTCACTGTGTCCGGAGGACACAGCGGGCACCAGATCGCGGGTGCTGCGCGCTCCCAGGGAGCGCGCACAAGCAGGGTGCGGGGAGGCCGTTTATAAACGGCCACCCGACCCTGCACTGCCACCGTCTGGCCGTTTATATGCAACGGCCGGTCGGGAAGTGGTTAAACCCAAAACTAAAACTGTAATATATAGCAGCTTACCAATCATTAGATGTGGTGACTGCATTAGCCTTTTTTCCCCTCTGTTTTCACCTGGTGATCTGGCCAATAACACACCTCCTATTTTAGAGTAACCCCACTTTTGATGAAGGAACACAGGCAGCACAGCAGACTGCAGCATTGTCAATCTGGAGGGGAGTGTTAGATGTACTCACTGATTTAAATACACTAACAGATTGCAGCGAAACTCCAGCTCACACTTTGTAAACAGTTACAGCAAACAGTTTTTCTCCCTTTTGGGATAAAGTTTTTACATGAATAAATAAAAGCTGATCATTGTAGTCACCCCTGACAGTGTTAAATGGTTTTTCTCATCCCTGTAAATTGATACATCTAGGAGAGAGCATGTTTTGTTGAAAAACAACAAACTAACTGGATCACCACATAAAAATAGAGGAAAGAAAACCTAAAAAAAGAAAATGAATGCAGCCATCACATCTAGGAATTGGTAAACTGCAATATAATAAATATTTGCTTTTGGGTTTAATACTGCTTTAAAGAGTATGGAATTCATATTCCTGATATTTGCCTGCTGTACCATGTATTTGTATGAAAAAGTATCCTGTTCTCTTTCTATTGCTTCCTTTGTGTGAAATCCCTGGTGTTCCTGCCAGTCCCTCTGCTTTCCTAATAAAAACTGACAACACTAGGCAGGAGAGCACAATGTGGTCAGTTCTCTAGCTGTGCTGGGAACTCAGTGTGTATCCTCCGAATGATCAAACTTCTGCTCACGTGTCCCCCCCCACCCCACAGCCATTCACTGGGAAGTTTAGTGTGCTACGGTTTATCCACTCCCAGGTCTCTGTTCTCAGCTGCATAAGGAGCTTAGGGGGGGACAGACTAAAACATTTAATGTGGAAATGGCTTAATGTAGCTTAACGTGTAATAAACTGTCTAAATCTTAATCAATTTACTTGAAACTTTGCACAGCCCAAGTTCTCAACGTCCCAAACATGTCCTAGAAGTTTCATATATTTTGAACTTCCACAAAGAAAATGGGGGACATTAAGCTTGTTTTTTGGGGAGCTTAATGTAGCTTAACGTACAATAAAGAGCTTAGATGTTGACCAATCTCCCCCAAACTTCACACATTAGAAGACTCTATCTATGGCAACATATTCTGAAAATTTCAGGTCATTTGGTAAATCACTCCAAAAGTTATTCACATTAAGCTATATTTTACAGTGCTAAAACATTTAATGTGAACAGCTTAATGTAAAAAGAGCTTAACGTACCATAATGTGCCTAAATCTCAATCAATTGACTTGAAACTTTGCACAGCCCAAGTTCTCAACGTCCCAAACATGTCCTAGAAGTTTCATATATTTTGAACTTCCACAAAGAAAATGGGGGACATTAAGCTTGTTTTTTGGGAGCTTAATGTAGCTTAACGTACAATA